CTTTTAGGATGATATGTGGCTTTGTTGGTAATAGCTTGTCATAAACTCGGTTAGTTTAATCAATAGACCATGATGAAGGAAACTATGGTTTAAGAGTTGTATGAATTATAATATGAAATTGAAAAAAATGGAAAATGTACATACTCTTGGTATCTCCTCCCCACAAAAAAAAAATGAATTTCTGCATCCATCTTTCCCCAACATAGATAATTATTAAATTCTGGGAACTTTATAAACAACATTGTTCAGTCTGCAGCTCATGCAAAATCATTATTAAAAGCAAATTGAGTTACTAATCATTAGCTACAAACTAATTAGCATTCTAGTATTCTGGGAAAAATGAGGGACAACTTTACTGTTGCTACTGAAATATGTTTTGAATATGAAAATCCTTTTAACAAACATGAAAAATGGAGCACTGTAGAAGAATTAAGTAAATTATTAAATACTTATGGAAGGGTAAACAATAATATAAAGAAATTGTGAAGCTCAGAATCATATAGGCATTTGATAAAATTAACCCCCTGGAGAAGTGAGGGTCTGTTACAAGCAGTTATACAATCACCAGGTTCTTTTAATAACAGTTGAAAGTTGGATGCCACTGCCGGTCCTGGAAATCCTAAAAAGATTTCCCAGGTGGTGATGATTCTACGCGCTGCTTGGACAGGAATGACTGCATGGCATTTGTTTGTTTGTTTGTTTGTTTGTTTGTTTGTTTGTTTGTTTATTATATTTCTATACCGCCTTTCTCCCGTAGGACTCAAGGCGATGTACAGTCAAGAAAAAATATAGATACACAAACATCATAAAATTGCTAATTAAAATTATTATTATAACATAGTTTGGCCCAATTAAATAGAACCTAAAATTAGATAACATTTTAAAAAACATTCATATGTTCATATGTTTAGCCCCACCTGTTGGAACATCAGGGTTTTGAGGGCACGGCGGAAAGCACGGAGATCAGGGATATTTCGTATCTCAGGGGACAGTTCATTCCAAAGGGTTGGAGCCCTCACAGAGAAGGCCCTCCCCCTGGGAGTTGCCAGTTGGCATAATTAGACTGATGGTACCCTAAGTAGTTCCTCCCTGTGAGAACGAACTGGTCGGTGGTAGGCTATTGGTGGCAAAAGACGGTCTCATAGGTATCCAGGTCCTAAGCCATGGAGCACTTTAAAGGTGATGACTAACACCTTGAATCACACCTGGAAGACCACCGGGAGCCAGTGTAGCTCGCGTAGGAGAGGTGTTACATGAGCGCAATGAGCTGTGCCCATAATCACCCGGGCGGCTACATTCTGGACCAGTTGGAGCCTCCGGATGCTTTTCAAGGGGAGCCCCATGTAGAGAGCATCCATACGGGAGGTGACTAGGGCATGAGTGACGGTGCGCAAGGCTTCCTGACCCAGAAAGGGATGCATCTGGCGGATCAGGCGAACCTGATAAAAGGCACCCCTGGCCATGGCCGTCAAATGATCTTCTAAAGATAGCCGTGAATCCAGGAGGACACCCAAGTTGCGGGCCCTCTCTGTGGGGAGCCAGGTCTCATCCCCAATTGTCAGTGATGGTACCAGCTGACTATACCGGGATGCTGGAAGCCACAGCCACTCAGTCTTGGAGGGTTTGAGTCTGAGCTTGTTTCTCCCCATCCAGATCCGTACGGCCTCCAGGCAATGGGACATCACAGCAAGGGCATCATTGGGGTGGTCTGGGGTGGAGATGTATAGCTGTGTGTCATCAGCATACTGATGAACACTCACCCCGAAACCACGGATGATCTCGCCTAGCGGTTTTACATAAATGTTGAACAGAAGGGGTGAGAGGACTGACCCCTGCGGCACCCCACAAATAAGTTGCCTCGAGGTCAACCTCTGCCCCCCTGCCAACACAAACTGCGAATGGTCAGAGAGGAAGGAGGAGAACCACCGCAGCACGGTGCCCCCTATTCCTAACCCCTCCAGCCAGTGCAGAAAGATACCATGGTCGATGGTATCAAAAGCCGATGAGAGATCTAATAGGACCAGGACAGAGGAGCAACCTCTGTCCCGAGCCCTCCAGAGATCATCAACCAACGCGACCAATGCCGTTTCCATGCTGTATCGTGACCTGAAGCCCGACTGGAATGGATCCAGATAGACAACCTCATCCAGGTATCGGGGTAGTTGTCACGCCACCACACTCTCAACAACCTTCACAATAAAGCGAAGATTGGAGACTGGACGATAATTTGATAATATAGCCGGGTCCAGGGAAGGCTTCTTTTTTTTTTTTTTTTAAGACAAACAAACATTTAATACATCAATCCTTCTTTCCCTGTGACGTCTCGCTGTTATCTTCTAGGCTTCTTCTCCATCTTCCATAAGTTTCTTCTATCTTCATATTCATCCAAACCATTCTAACATTTCATTTCTAAATTCAATATTATAATCATCATTTGTACGCAATTATAGTATCAGTCATTTATATCTCTTTTCCAACCAACTATAAAAATAATTCCATGTTTTAAAATATTCTGATTCCCCCTTATCAGCCAACTTTGCTTTTTTTTTTAATTGCAAAAGTTTTACAATTACATTTTCACCCCTTTCCCCCCCACCTCCCCCCCCAGACTTCCCAAGGCTTCTTGAGGAGGGGCTTCACCACCGCCTCTTTCAAGGCGGCGGGAAAGACACCCTCACTCAGAGAAGCATTTATAATCCCCTGGAGCCAGCCTCGTGTAACCTCCCGGGAGGCCAGTACCAACCAGGAGAGACACGGGTCCAATAAACATGTGGCAGCGTTAAGCTTGCAAAGAATCCTGTCCACGTCCTCAGGAGCCACAGAGTCAAACTCTTCCCAGATAACGCTCTCAAGACCTACCCCCGTCTCCTCCCCTGGATCTACCCAATTGGAGTCGAGGCCTTCCCGAATCTGAGAGACTTTATGATGCAGGAATTGTACAAAATCCTCAGCTCGACCCTGTAAGGGATCTTCCCATACCCTCACCTGAAGTAGGGAGCGGGTCACCCTAAACAGCGTGGCTGGGCGGTTCTCTGCAGATGCAATAGGAGCGGAGAAGTTGCTAGACTTCACCACTCTTATCGCCACTAGGTAGATCTTAATATAAGATCTCACCTGTGTTCGGTCAGATTCAGATCGGCTTGTCCTCCAATCGCTCTCCAGGTGTCTTTTCTGACGCTTCATCTCTCTCAGCTCCTCGGAAAACCAAGGAGCGAGACGAGAACGGCATCGGGTCAGAGGCTGCAAAGGCACGATGCGGTCCAAGGCCCCAGCAGCCGCCCTGTCCCAGGCGACCACCAGGTCCTCAGTCGAGTCATGAGCCAGAGTCTCAGGAAATGGCCCAAGCTCCATCAGGAACCTTTCGGGGTCCATCAGGCGCCTGGGACGGAACCATTTGGTTGGTTCCGTCTCCCTGCGGTGGGTGGAAGTGACTTGAAAGTCCATGTGAAGGAGAGAATGATCAGACCATGACAAGGGCTTGATGTCTATATCCCCTATTCTAAGGTCATTCAGCCACTGATCAGAGATAAAAATCAAGTCCAGAGTGTGATTCCCCAAGTGGGTGGGGCCTTTAACTACCTGGGTCAGGTCCATGGCCGTCATGGAAGCCATGAACTCCCGAGCCATCTCCGACATCTCACCAGTGGATGGCAGGTTAAAATCCCCCATAACAATAAGTCTGGGGGTTTCCACCGCCACCCCGGCTATAACGTCAAGCAGCTCAGGCAGGACCGCTGTTACATGGCAGGGAGCCAGGTACGCAATCAGTAGGCCCATCTAAATCCCCCGACCCCACTTTACAAGGAGGGACTCACATCCGGCTATCCGAGGAACAGTGGCCTCCCTCGGGCAAAGACTTTCTCTAATAATTGCTGCCACTCCCCCACCCCCTCCCTGAGTCCTTGGCTGATGGAATGCATGGAAACCTGGCGGGCACATTTCCACAAGGGGAACTCCTCCCTCCTGGCCTAACCAGGTCTCCGTAATCCCTGCCAGGTCAGCACCCCCCTCTGAAATAAGATCATGAATGAGGGGGGCTTTATTTACCACTGACCTGGCATTACATAACATCAGCCGTAGACCCAGGGTCTGAGACTCGGAACAACCCGGGAAACGAGCAATGCTTTGGGGGTCGGAGTGCGCAATCACTCGTATACATCGAGTGCGCACTCCTGAAACATAATATGGCCCCCTGCAGCCGTCATATCTGCCCCTCCCACTTACTATACTAATGCCCATTGCTTCATCCCCCTGCATCCTTGTCAGATTTCTGTCCTCATCCTCCCCACCGTGATCATCAGACCCATTACCCCATTCAGTGGATTTATGGATCCCCCCAGATCTATTCCCACCCAGAACCCCTTAAAATATAACTTAAAGATTTATCTAAAAAACCCCAAAGCCGTCGTTTTTTTGCAAACCACCTCTCAGGGTTCCAAAACCTGTCCTCAAGGGCGGCCCTCGATAACTGAGAGGGCCAGACATGCGAGAAGGGGGAATCTCGCAGTTCAAGGAGCTCCGCAGTTGAATATATTGAAGATAGGAACAAGCTGAAGGAGATGAAGGATCATTTTCTTCTAAGAGTGTTAGAGATGGTTAAGACAGGTAATTGTAAAATAAGGGAGGAAATATAGATGTACATCATAGGCCTACTGACTAAACTATATTAGATTACATTCAGCAAGTGACACAGTCAAATATCATTTTAAAATGGTTTCATATTCAGTCCAAGGTGCACGTAGCAATCATATGCAAGCAGACTTGTGAATGCAAGACACAGCCTGAGCCTCAGGAAGGTCAGAGAGGTCGTGCTGATTAGCTCTTCTAGCTCAGGCAAGCAGCAGGGCTCAGCTGGGTTACCCAAGTTCACAATAAGCTATTGACATTCAGCTACATTGCTTACTCATTACCAGATCAGCGGGGGATTGTCTGGGTCTTCATTAACTCTTATCATACTCTTGATTATTATTTTTTTAAAAATATCACACTCAACATGCAGATGATTGCTAGGGAACATTTACCAGTTGCTTTGAAATGAGCAGCATCTAGAAAATGATGGAAGCTTTTTGAAGCAGGAATCTGTTTGCATAGGTTAGATTCTAAAGGCTGATCCATCTGATATATGGCTGAACATCTAGAGAATGTTAGAAGAATCTTCATTGGAGGAAATGGTTGGTTGATCTCTTAGTCATATTTCTGACTTATGGATGTGAAGCAATACATTTCTCTACCTCAAGTTCACTGGCCTGCAACTAAATCACATTATTACATCATAATGACGAACTTACACATCAACTACAACCAAAGAAACCACATTATGGATCCACAATGTTTGAAAACAACTTAGTTGCACTGCTTTACAACCTTAAACTAGTGTTTAGTGACAATAAGTAGTGTTAGTAAATTAGTGTTAGTAAACTAGCCAAGCTATAGTCTGTGACTTCTCTACTTCTCTTCTGTTGAGTTTCTGTTCTAAAGTTTTGCCTTAACATCACTGCTTAACTAGACCTCTTCCAAACTCTTCTTCACATTATGTATGGAATAATTATGTCTACAGTAAGTTTTATTCATCTTTGGTATCTATACAAGATATTACTTACATATTCATTAAATTCACTTAGACCAGGGCAGTCAAACTCCTGTCCCACGGGCTGGATGTGTCACATTCTGGCCACGCCCACGCCTGATTTAGCAAAGGGGAAAAAAGTCCCAATATGTCACATGACGCTGCCGTGACGACGTGAGTTTGACACTCTTGACTTAGACTTATTCCTACACATTTTGTTTTTTTATAAAAAAAATCTTGAATAGTGTAATATTAGAGGCTTTTTTCATCCATATTTTTAAATAAACCAGAGTTGGCTGGATTCATGCAATATTACAAGCCACACATTTATTTATTTATTTATTATTGCGATTTATATGCCGCCTTTCTCCCTAGGGACTCAAGGCGGCTTACAAAATGACAAATTTCAATACAAATCACAATGAAATAAAATTAAAATCAGCAACCCTATTAAAAACAGTTTAAAATTATGACAATCTATCACCAAACGGATCAGTTAAATTGACGAAAGAGCCACGTCTTCAGCTCGCGACAGAAGGAAAGAAGGTCGGGGGCTATCCTGAGCTCGGTGGGCAATCCATTCCAGAGGGTCGGGGCTCCCACAGAGAACACCCTCCTCCTGGGGGCTGTCAGCCGACAATATCATTATTGTTATAAGGAAAAGTAAAAAATCATTAAAAAAAGTGAAAATATCATTCTGCAATATAGACACTCTCAAACAAATTATGAAATACTTGATAAGTTTTGATAGCCTGGACATTTTAGATTCCTGGCCTTCTTTAGAAGTACCAAATCTGAGTTGCAAAAGTCTAATCAACCAGTGGATGATGGCAAATAGTTACAGAAAATTGAAACTTGTGACAATTGTGCTGTTAATTAGATACTTAGATTTTTTTCAGCCAGAAATCCCAGTCCTACTTTATTAATAGTTCTGCAGTAAGCTGAGATTTAGCATTTTATCTTGTTTTACCATCTCAACTCATGAAAATATACAGCATTTGTAAAAAAATATTAATCTATCTAAAGGAATTGAGGATGTCAAAATCTAGGATTGACTACAATCTAGGACCAGGAAAATAACAGTTTTGCTTCTAGAAGCCAAAGTTAATTTCATTATTAAAAAGATTTACTAATTAGAATGCTTGCTTTCTACTATGATTGAAGTCTTATCCAATGAATGCCAGTTTGTAAAAGGGAATAAACTGTACAAGTAGGCTCTTTTGAAATTCACTCTACTGAGATGGATTTTTAATGTTTTAAACATTTCTTCGGAGCCTGAGTTCAGACAACATAACAAATACTTATGTAGGCATGTTTAAAAAATTAGATATTTTAAAAAGTAATAATATTCTATCATAACCCATATATATGTGAAAAAATGTATACACGTGCTGAATTATATTTAGATGCCATATTTACAAGGAACAATAAACAGATCTATGCAAATAGAACTAGATTAATTTTTTAAATCCCTTCATTGCAGGAAACAAAATGAAGGAAAATTGCTAGTTATTAGCTTTCCCCCCTTAACTAATTGGCTTTTTGTCATTAAGAACTAACAGGAAAGTAAAAATAAAATAGCCAATTGGATATGCCCTCAAAGGCAGTTCCCTGCAGTGCAATATGTTTTGTCAATGGCATTTTTCCTGTTCATGTCAATTTTGTATGTCAAGGCTTAATACCAGGACTAACTATATCAGTTCCCTATGTTTTGTGTTCTTAGCAGGTTCAAAAAATGTAGCATAGTAGCTTTATTGCAGAGAAATGCTGCTGAGAAAATAATACATACACAGAAATTCAAATTATAGCAGTACCCAGGAAATCAGATAGATTTTAGTCAATCCGGCTAAGGGTTAAATTCTGGACATTTTCCTCCTGCCTTTTTGAACCAATGAGCCAATAGACTACTCTTTTCTTGGCCATCTGTCTCTTGTTTACTAAATGGGTCACAATCACAAGCTTTTTTTTTTTTTATCAAGTTCTAATAAGAAGGAGGACACATTAGATTTAAGTTTGAGGCAGAGTTCTGAACTTACATACAACTAAATAAACCATAATGCTTCAGGACATTTCCTTATCAGATACGTCAAAGCTTTTAACATAGTAGAGTTTTTAACATACCTGAAAAGTTCCTTAAAATTCAGGGAGATTTTCAGAGATATGTCTGCCTTGAAAGGAGCTCAGGTTGAACTGTGTAGCACAGTCATATATCAGACATTGACCACAGGAAATGTTTTATGACATTTTGCATATTATGTCATAAAATGCTTTATGATAATTTTATGATGTTTTATAAAATTTGACAAATTTCAGTTGCATGGGAATCAGACTCCTTGATTTTAGACATGTTCAAGGTATCTTGATTCAAGAATTGTTGCCCTATGATGCAGTTTTACCCAGTTAAAGGTTACAAACATTACATTATGTAGATTTGTGTAACCAGTGAAAAGGATAATTTATCCATCAGTTCTCTTGAACAAATTACATTATTTAAGCTTTTTCCAGAACAGATTTGCTTCTCCAGTAATTTGTCCTGCTATCTTGTTATGGTATCTTAAATGTACCCCAGTCCTGTACTCAAATAGACTCAGAAAGACAATCTTAATTCCAAGCCAATCAAAAAACATTTCCTTATGTTGCCAATTTCTAGAATAAATATGGGACCTGCTTAATAAAGATTTCTTGCTTATGTACTTATACTTTATAGAAGAGTTCAAGGTCAGTGATCCCTGAAAGCTATAGACGTATTTACAAGTTTGCTATTTATAATGACTAGTTGAAGAATTACAGTTCCCATAAGTTTTCAGGCAGGCAATTAATTTTAACATGCAAGAAGACATGAAAGAAGGTGCTGGCTTTGAAACAGCACCTACCTATATGTCAAATCTGCACTATTAAATTATGTTTCGTTTTATTGACATTATCATAAGTTATGGACTCAGTAATGTTGCTGCATTGCTCACATTAATTTTTGTAGGACCTATTCAGGATTCAGTGGCCTTAATTATGATTTTTAAATGCCATATACCAAAGAGAAAGACAACTATTATAAATTGTAAGCCAGTTGTCATCTTGGACCTTTCTTGGTATTTGGGGTTCCAGATGTTGCAAAATTAGCATGAAGTTTTAGTGTTTAGTAAAATTTATGACACTATTTATCAAAAAGCTGCATTGTCACGAAACAGGATTGTGGAAACTTCCATTGAATTATTTTGCAGGTAAAATTTTGTTGTGGTTATACAGCAGCCTAAATGAGGGGATTGCGCTAAAAATTACAATAGCTTCCCCCCCCAAAAAAATAATTAAAAGTCTTTTCTTTGACAAAGCCAAAATGATAAGCATACCTGTTGCTTGTTTGTATAAAAAACACATTACTATGTAACGTGATACATAGAATCTTTCAAATATGTTGAGCTTGAGAACTTGGATATATTCTCTATTATATAGCTATTCAATGGCTTTGTGATACTAGTGGTACACATAAAAAGGCTTCTATGGCTTCTAAAGGTTTTTGTGGAAACATGACCTTATAGAATCCTTCTTGCAGATGTTTTATTATCCAGCTAGGTAACATCTTCAGTGCCAGAGGGGAATGATGGAGTGTTCTTTGTTTAAATAGAGTAGCTTGCCCTGTCAGTATTGGTGGGAGTGTTTTTAGTAGCGCCTTGCTCAGACTGTTATTTATTGGTGCATACATTACCTTTGAGGCACTTTTTAACTAATCCCTGCAGTTTTCTTAAAGGATTTCAGAGGTGGTTTGCCATTACCTTCTTCCTAGGGCTGAAACTGACTGGACCAATTATTAATTGAGAAGCACAACTTTAACAGAAATTAGTTTTTTTTAAAAAAATTAACTGTTAACTTGTTAAACTGTTTAAACTATTTGAGTGTAATGAAGACCCACAATTCCGGGAGGCAAGCTGTTCCATTGATTACTTGTTCTCACTGTTAAGAAACTTCTCCTTAGTTCCAAGTTAGATCTCTCTTTGATGATCTTTCACCCAATCCTTCTTGTTCTATTCTCAAGTCCTTTGGAGAATAAGTCAACTCCCTCTTCTCTGTGACAGCTCCTCAAGTACTGAAAGACAGTATCATATCAGCTTTAAAACCTCTCTTCATTAATCCAGACAACCAAGTTCCTTTAACCATTCATCATACAATTTAGCCTCCAGACCCCTTATCATCTTTGTTGTTCTTCATTACACACTTTCTAAGGTTTCAGCATCTTTTTTGTATCATAGTGACCAGAATTGGACACTATGAGATCACATTCCAAGAGTGATCTCACTAGTGCAGTATATAGTGGACTATCATTTGTCATGATCTTGGTTGCATTGGCCTTTTTGACAGCTGCAGCGCACTGCTGACTCATACTCAAGTCCCATAGGATATCTAGATCCCTCAGTTACTATTGCTCAGCCAAGTACCACCTATTCTACACCTCTGCATTTGGTTTTTCTTGCCTAAGTGCAAGACTTTACTTTTCTCACCACTGAATTGCATATCTTGCTGGCTAAGGCCCAATCCTCAAGTCTATCACAATCCTTCTGTTAGCAATTTCCTCCAGCTTGGTATCATCAGCAGATCTGATGAGCTCCCCTTCCATGCTCTCATCTAAATCATTTATGAAGATGTTGAAGGCTAAAAGCCAACTAATGCCCTTCAAAACATCCTAAGCAGACCAAAAGACCCAACAACTCCAGAAGAAAAAAACAGCCATCATCAACATACAATATAAGGATAGCAACAACCACCATGTAGGAGAAACAGGCAGAAGACTGGCAGAAAGCATCCATAAGCATCAACTAGCACAACAGATAGATAGATTTAAATATAGTTTCAATTGGGAAAATGTGACAATCCTAGACGAAGCCAAGTCCAAAAAGGCCAGGAAATTTCTAGAAGCCTGCCACTCTGACAAATCAGCCATCAATAGACATGTAGACATTAACAACATCTACAGACTATACAAAAGAGACTATCACCCAGCCCAAAAAAGGAACAAAAAGTCCCAAGCATCTCTTCATCAGCAATCAGCACCCAGATCAGCATAGATTAATTCCAAAGTTAACATCAGACCAACAATCAAGTAAACAATGGCCCAATCAAGAAACTGCCAAAGAAGCCAACAGCAAACAGCCCAACCAACACTGACAGGCAAACCACTAGAATATAAAGTGATAGCAAACTGCACTCATAAGTAGTGCTAGCTTTTATCTAATATGGGTAATGAAACGTCTGCAAGAAAACAAGAAAGCTCAGAGAGCGCCAAAGACCCTTCATGAGCTGAATTGCAAATATTCTCCTTTAATAGATGTTGAAGAGTACTGCCCCCAATACAGTAACTTGAGGAATTCATGCTTCCCTCCATGTAGATGTAGTTCCTATGATATGTGTAGGTGCTCAACCAATTGCAAATCCATCTGGTGGTGGTTCTGTCTAATCGCAGTAAGTTGCAGTCTATTTTATTAAATGCCTTACTGAAGTCCACGCATACTGTATGCACTCAGCATTTTCCTGATTTAATTTAAACTAATTTAATCACTTAATCCAAGAAAGCAATAAGATTTTTCTGGTGTGATCTGTTTTTAACAAATCCATGTTGACTTCTAGTAATCTCCTTGTTCCTTTCTAGGTGGCTCTAGATGCAAGGAAAAAGAGGAAGGTGATGATCAACAGCAAGGCAAATTGTCCTGCTTCAGGTCTCAACCACACATGCAGTTTCTTACGAGATTATCAGTTACAAGATTACTTTCAGACAGCAGAGTTAATAAAAAAAGTAAGGAATGTCAGTAAAACAAAAGTTTGCCTGCAAAATTGGTTTTGAAGAGGCATCCAACACAGGTCAAAGTTTCAAAGAGCCAAGTCAAGGTTATGAGCCAGTCTAAGGGCCAAAGAAGATTTCACACATGGGAGTTATATTCAAGCTGGAGGTTAGGCATTATTTCCAGCAAAGAGAATAAATGCTGAGAAGATTCTTATATAGGCAGCACCAGAGGTGGGTTTCAGCAGGTTCTGACCAGTTCTGAAGAACCAGTAGCAGAAATTTTGAGTAGTTCAGAGAACCAGTAGTAAAAATTCTGACTGGCCGCACCCCCATCTATTCTCTGCCTCCCAAGACCCAGCTGATTGGGAGGAAATGGGGATTTTGCAGTAACCTTCCCCTGCCACGCCCACCAAGTCACACCCACCAAGTCATGCCACACCCACAGAACTGGTAGTAAAAAAAAATTAAAACCCACCACTGGGCAGCCCCAGCTGTTATTAATCAGGAGGTTTACTTCTTTAATTGGCAAGCAACCTAATAGACCTTTGCTATTCTACTCTACTCTCTACTCATTAGATGTGTGCACTGAGAGATCTTTCATAATGCTTCTCTGGCTCAGATGTTTCTTATATTTGATCAGATTCATGTGGTTCCTCCTGAAAGTGTCATATCACAGGTTCGGCTACAGCTTCTTGTGCAGGATCATTCACAGATTCTGAGTCCTGAGCCATGACATGACACAAATGGTCACAATTACAGTACTGGTGGGTGTTCTGTTCCAAAACCTGAAGGACCAGATTAGGAACAGATAGTTCCTGAGAAAATCTATGAACAGTGTGTAGTTGCTAAGAGGTGACACTGACTTGATCGTATATGATTAATCACTTGTTATGATATGCCTCAATAGAGAAGCACAAATTAATAGAAAACATCAGAACAAATTTCTATTCAACAACTATATGAACAAATATTAGGGCAATAGAACAAACTAAACATTTATCAAACATCATTGAAACTCACCATGCCAGCAAACCAAATCATGATATTTGTCAGGACACTGGGAAGCTAGACCCTGGCCTGTACGATTGTCATTGGGAACTTTAGTTAACATTTTTTATATTTGTTAATATTAATTTTTATACTATCAAAAATCTATAATATCAAATGCTATAATACAAGTGTATTGGTGCAGTAGTCAAGGGAAGAGGCCAGTAAATCATTCTCCTTATATTTTGCATTCCAGTTTACTACTCCCAAAGTATAAAGCCCGGAGCAATTTTGGGAAGAAAGAAAATAAATTGGAATGAAATTTTGTGGGATTTACATAGCAGAAATAACCTTTCACACAGCCAATTTACCTTCCTGATTGATAATACTTATAACCAGAAGTCTTGCAGCAGCAATACCTATTTGTAGAATCCTTCTT